AGACATGGATTTCCTAAACGTCCTTTCAGTTTATTCCTGCGCAAGTACTCGGTTGGAATAACAATAAATATAATTTTCGCTTTAATTTGCATTATTATGTTTGGTCGAGTTAGCTCAATTTGCACTTGTTATCATCCATAAATTGTTAGTTTCTAAGCCGAGAAATAATGATGACTTATATTAGGAGCTAGATTCACTATAAAGAGAAAATCAGCATAACTAGCATGTAATTTATACCTCTCTGATCCCTATAAAAAGAATATCACAAGAGGCAGTACCACTTTTGGCCTTCCAAAATAAAAACTAAGCAGTATGTAGCAGCCACTAAATGGAATCCTAAGATGAAAAGCAACAAGACGGAGGATCTGCGATTAACAATAATGAAAACAGTCGCAGAGGAAGTCAAAGCAGAAAGAGACGGATAGTGATTGACCTATCAAGAATCTGCAAGGTGTTTATGAATGGGACATATCTAAATCCACAATGCAATATACAAAGAGAGAATAGGGCTTTAATTTCCAAGAGTTAGGTGAGTAGGTGTTTCCCCAAGAGATTTGTGACAGTATGAAAATTGAGCAATTTGCGGGTCTCCCCATTCTTGGCTGGTCCGTGACTACCCCACTGCCCCAAGGGAAAAAACAGACACAGAGAGGGAGAGAGTCCATTCTCACAGTACAAATTATACATGCTCTTTTAATTTACAGATAGTTAAATACGCTGGATTTCTTAAAACGAATGAAGTGGTTTTTTCTTGGAACTCATGGCTAACCTAATAAGATAGGAGGAAGGGATATCATAATTGATATATATGGTATGTGTAAGAGAATCATAAGTTCGGAAAACTTGATGATGGCATACTACATATGTATATTCTCTAACAGTTAGAAAACGATGTATATCAATTTTAGTGGTCCACAATGTTGGGTAAATTTTATGACAATTTAAATAAAAAAATAAAGAGGAGGAACTATGGACATCAGCTCTACTTCCCAATACCATAGGCATCTATGTCCAGTTATACAGTAATGATCTTGTTTAAATTATTTTACACGTCAAAATAAGAAGTGTTGTCTCTCCTGGAAAGGTGAGGACTAGCATACTAGGCACAATATGTCGATATATTTGGAGAATTCATTATATTATTTATCCTGGAATCTTGAGTTTTAATTGAAAAGAGGCTTCTAGTTAATTTGATTCGAACAGAAGCCAAACTTGATGCGGGGAGAGGCATCAATCATAAATCATGGTGGATGCCATACCACTAGGTGACCTAGCTATGTATATAGTAAATAGGAAACAGTGTAGAATGAGGAAAAGAAGTGGTAATGCACTGAAAATAAGGAGCCAAAAAAACCAGAACAGACCAATGAAAGCAAAAGGAAAACTGGTCCCTACGTGGAGATGGGGGAGAAAAAAGGTCAGTCAAATAGTGCAAACGTACATAACCACACATAAGCAGTGTTTGATTATTCTTTCGGCTTTTTGGCGCGGATCTCACCAAGAGAATCGCTGCTGTACCCATTAAAAGCCACTCGACTCTTCTGTAAAGCTTCCATATCATGAGCATCTATCTCCCATTATTGCTTTCTATCTTTTCTTGGCTGAAGAATATGTCTGTGTGTACTGTGCACGGTGCTTTTGGATTCCGAGAGGTGATGGGGAAGGGGGAAGCATGAATAAAAGGTATTGGCGCGCCTCAATTTGAAGACATGGTTATATGTGAAGAAGAAGCCATGTAGTTTAATTGAGCCGCGTCAATATCTCATTTTGCACTTCTCTTCCCTCCAACTACATATATAAATATCACATGTCGACTACTTCTGCAGGTATGTTCATTTATTCTCTGCTAAGTCATATTCTCTTTTCTTTTCCTTCTTTCCCTCTCATTCATTCCTCTGTTCTTGTCCTTTATTTTCTCTTTTCTCTTTTTCTTTTGATTCCTATGCAAAGAATGTTACTTTTCTTCCGCTTGCCAATATATCCGCCGAGTTCATTTGTGTTATGTGTAGATAACAGATAGAAAGCTTGCAGATCGCATTTACAGTCATATTAGATTTAATTAGTTCAGTTACTGGTTTAGTAACTGTGCTACTACCTCCGGTCCTAATTATAAGAGTTAATTGACTAATTTGAGGAGATTAAGAAAAGAAGTTAAGTTAGTTATTTGTCATAAAGAAGTGTTATCTTTCCTAAAATATCCTTACTAATCAAGTTTATTGGCTAGAACTACCATTATTAAAAGGACTATTTTGAAAAAGAATGCATAAATATTAGACACAAAGTGAATTAGGGTCTTATATTTAGGACCAAAATAAGAGTCAAACGAGATCCTATATTAAGAACTGAAAGTAGTATTTTGAACTCCAGCAAAAGCAATAAATATAATATATATCAAACCCAAAGCTTGCAGTTATTGGAATAAGCCATGGTGTAAAAGTGAGTACTGAAGACATTAAATTAAGCAAAAGACGTATATATTAATGCAGGATTTCGTAATATTTAAGCATAAAAGGATGTCAAGACTGAACATGCTTATCGGTGCTTCTGTCGGATAGGAAGTGTGTGTGTGGTCTATTTGATCTCTGACTAGCTACCAAGTTTTCTTATTTTTTCTTCAATTCCTGTCTAGATAGATCTGTCTTGTATAGACTTGTCGTCTCTCTTTCATCTCCTGCATATTGTTTTTTCAGAGGAAAAAAAAAAAAGAAATGTCAATACATCAAATCATTAATAATTGCAATTACATATCCTTGAGCTTGAGGTACGGCCTGAGCTATCTAGCTAGAGATAAGGAGCGCTATATATTGCGTAGCCTAACAATCATGCATACAAACGATGAGAAAGCCACAAAAACCAAGATAAGATATATATAATTGGATCAGCCTCTCAGTTGGAGTGGGTAAAAAATGGCTTATCATGTTGGCCATCACAGCTTGCACCAACAGTTTATCTTTTTTTATTGTCAACAAGAGATATGGATGTCAAAAGAAAAGATGTGGAAAGACAAAGAAATAGAGCTCCGCCTTTAAATATGGTGGAATTGACGCGATTGAGATTCTGATTTGATTGTCCTAAAGCAGTTTGAGATATATACTGAGAGAAAATAGAGTCTCCGCACTAGCCAGTTCATCAGAATTATTGTTGGATTAATTAATTTCCAAATGACTGGCCCATGTGTTTGTATGCTTAAAATGCTATCCTCATTCCATACGCTTGATATGGAAGCCGCGTGGGACTCAGAAGAAAAATGATGGTGATGAGAGTCATTTCATTTGCAAGGTAATGAAGGGAATCCTTCAGGAGCTTGCTAGTATTAAGACCACTCGAAGCTCCAATAATTCAGGCGTGTGCTTTCTGTATTGATTTGCTTTAACTACTTCCATCAGATTCATGATCTCGTGTACATGTAATACATACAGGTACAAGCAGGTATGTTATTTAATTATGTTTCATTACCAGTTACTAGTAATATATCTTCTTCCATGTATGATTTTATTTTTGTAAATTATTTGCACAGAAAATTGCAGAGGAGGGGTGTGATTTCAGCATTCAGGAAGAGTTAGCAAGTGACCAGCACGAGAGAAGGTACATGGAGAAACCCTTATCACATAATGGACACACAAACTTTTAACCCCGTAGATTCATACCAAAATAGTTAAAAGTTGAAACTTTATTTTTTTGGAATCTGTCAATTCAAATGCAGTGATCGCATGCGTTTTATTTCAAGAAAACCTTTTTAAGGGTGTTTGGATAGAAACCAAACCATGTTTCAGAAGTGCTTTTACGGATTACGAAGTAAATATGAGGAGATTATTTCGTTTTGCGGAAAAGTGCTTCTGAAACCATTGGGTTCCCAAACACTCCCTAAGTCGATGATTCCCATTGATGTTCCACCACGCAAACTCAGACCTTTTTGTCTTGACATCTACATATAATAAAAAATCAATATATAGCCTCTCCCTAATATCCCGTTTTTAATTTGTAGTAATCACAACCCCTTTTGGTTGGCTCTTTTTAAGGCTTGGAACTTGCAATAATAATGCATAAGAAAACTGGTTCAACTTTAATTTCCATGTCACCTTCAAAAGTTGAAGGTATTAAATTTATGAGTTATTTCATTTATATACTTATTTTAGTCTCATACCATTTAACATACGACTTCTTTATTTCTCCCCATTATAAAAAGGGACAGTATGAAAAATAATGAACAGTATAATTTTATTCCTCAAACTTCATATAACACACACACACACATATAAAAAATGTAATCGTTTACCCAGTCACAGTAACTCTATTATTTAGTTGCATAATATCAAGTAATAATAATGCTAAAGGGGGTGATACAAATGTGATGAGAAGTCAATGATATAATCTTTCTGCATGTTTTTATAAGGGATCCCCATCTAATTATATTTAAAGACTAGCCCATATCCTTCCCCTCGCACGCGCTCGAATTCAACTGCGCCGACGTAACAGTAATATTTATCAATATCATATATATAATTTAAAGTGTTTTTTTAAAAATTAACGTAATTAATATGATATATATCAATCACCATTAAACTCTCTCTTGCCTATATACCATGCAAAAATAAAAATATGAAAGCCCTATTAACATTTGTAAAATGTAAAATATGAAGGCAAAATTAGTGAAAACTGTATATTTTATAAGTACATATAGTTTCTTTTAATTTTTAATTTAGTATTTATACATTTTTTTTAGTTAAAGCATTTACTTTATTAATACCGTTATTCCTGTATAAGGGTTAACGGTATTCACAAAACAGCATCATAAGGCTGATAATGTTGAAACAATAAAATTACAGGATTTAATGAAAAATAATAATATAAATGCAAAATTAATTAAAAATTATTGGAAAGTATCTTGCAAAATAACACATGCGCGCATGATTGGACGGCTCAAGAAGAGCCGCGTATTCATTTTTGGTCTTTTGGTTTTTTCTCATAAGATGCCCAACGGAATCAGACAGGATCCAGTAGTTTGAGCGAGATGAGCCGCTAGTTTCACACGAGCTCACGGCTTTGGGCTGCCTTTTGTGGATAACAAATACGGATTCATGCAATCCAACTTGTGGAAAATTAGAGGGAGACATCTCTCTCGCTTCTCCTCCACAGGTCCCAAGAAATGAAAAAGGTGCTGTATTATCCGATCCCGCTGTCCATGCCTTTCCTTCTTCCCTCGTCACTCCTTTACTATCTCAGAAGCCATGGTTATAAACCTTTCCCCCTCTCCTCCCTCTTATTCCAGTTCCATCATTAGATTAGCCAATTGTAAGTCCCCTATCTCAGAACGTTCTTTGAACCTCAATATCCACTTTCCAAAACCTCATTCTTCCCGCTCTTCTATATGCTGCTCATTTGCTTCCCCACACATTAATTTCACTTGCAAGAAGCGGTTTTTGTTTGAGAAGAGTAGGTGTACACATGGAAATAGGGTGGATTTCAGAACTTGGGCCATCCCTGGGTTTGATTATGGGAATTTCGAAGGCCCTCAGTCTGTACTGGAGGCTGCTGCTGTTTTAACAGCGATTATTATTGTTCACGAGAGCGGTCACTTCCTTGCTGCCTGTCTTCAAGGCATCCATGTAAGTAAATTTGCAATTGGGTTTGGTCCTATTTTAGCTAAATTCAATTCAAAAAATGTAGAATACTCTATTAGAGCTTTTCCTCTTGGTGGTTTTGTGGGGTTTCCTGATAATGATCCAGACAGCAACATTCCGGTTGATGATGAAAATTTGCTGAAGAACAGGCCAATATTGGACAGAGTAATTGTAGTTTCAGCTGGTGTGATTGCTAATACAATTTTCGCCTTCCTTATTATCTTTGCTCAAGTCCTGTCCGTTGGTTTGCCTGTGCAAGAGGTCTTTCCTGGTGTCTCTGTACCTGAGGTTCGACCCTTTTCGGCTGCTTCTCGAGACGGCTTGCTTCCTGGTGATGTCATTCTCGAGGTTAATGGAAACGATTTGCCTAAACCTGGCCCCAATTCTGTTACCGAGGTTGTTGACGTCATCAAGAAGAACCCGAAAAAATACGTGTTGCTCAAGGTTAACAGGGGAGGACAAAACCTTGATATTGGAGTCACGCCAGATGAAAATTATGATGGAACTGGTAAGATTGGAGTGCAGTTATCACCAAATGTAAAGATAGAAAAGATTATACCGAAAAATCTGTTGGAAGCTATAAACTTTTCAGGAAAAGAATTTTGGGGTCTGGCTTCTAATGTTCTAGATGGGTTAAAGCAGACATTTTTAAACTTCTCACAGACAGCTGGTAAGGTTTCTGGTCCTGTGGCTATTATTGCTGTTGGGGCAGAAGTTGCAAGATCCAACATTGATGGTCTCTACCAATTTGCTGCCATACTCAATCTTAACCTAGCTGTTATAAACCTGCTGCCTTTACCTGCTTTAGATGGCGGTACATTGGCTTTGATACTGATTGAGGCAGCCAGGGGCGGGAGGAAGCTCCCTCTGGAAGTGGAGCAACGGATCATGTCATCAGGAATTATGCTTGTCATTCTTCTGGGTCTATTTCTTATAGTTCGTGATACGTTAAATCTTGATATCATCAAAGACATGTTGTGACTGGTTGGGAGTTTAATGGTCAGTGGACTTCCAAAAATGTTTCATCTGAAGATGCTATTGGACTGGTTTGGTAGCCTGTGATTTATCGAAAGAGGAGGAATGATCTATTCGGGATGCCATAGTGGGTTGTCTGTGTTTCTTATTCATTGGTCTAATCAAGATCGTCCCTGTGATACCATATATAAGTTCACAAGTTACGAATACTGGTTTCGTTTACGATATTAGATTCTTCCCTGCCTGCACTTCTATACAATTCATGAAGTTACTGATTAGCCATTTATTATTCAGTCTTAGTCCCGTACGTTTTTGTTAGTTGCAGTGTGATGGAAATCCTGTCTTTGCAAATATGATCTGATTTAGTTATGCTTCTTTGTAACATTCTAAATACTTGGCAAATTTGCGATAACAAATGAAGGGAACTGTGAAGAAGGCCTCATCTTTAATAAAACCCCTCATCTCATATCTGTTTGATAGTGTGCTTAGTGATATTTTTGGAGCTTTAAAAAAAAAAAAGGAGAGGAGAAGAATCATTGCCCGTACTCTATCTAGCATATTTCAGCTATGAATTTTTGGGGACATGATTTAATTATGTCTGAAGTATTCTTCTCTTCAGAACGAGACCTCCTAATTAACAACATATCTAAGGATTGGGTTGTTGACAGAGCACGATAGCGTCGTATGATTCATGTAGCCGACCCCACCTAGTGGGATAAGGCTTGTTGTTGTTGTTGTTGTTGTATTCTTCTCTTCAAAAGAGCTGTCAGCTGTGGCATAACGTGCCATTTCGTCAACCAACAACGAAGTGATGAGTTGTCGTCTTAAAGACGGGACCTTCTTCACAGTTCCCTTCATTTGTTAAGGCTATGGAAAAATCGAAAGAAAAGAAAATTGAGAGGCGGGATGACGCTATTGCTGCTGCTATTTCAACTGAGAGCGAAACTGGGAAGTATTAATATTTATCTAAGTTCACAAGAATATTGAAACAGAGGATTGTTCGTAATTTGCTTCGTGGCAAAATCTGGAGATGTGCATCACAAATTTCTATGTCGAGCATTATCTTGTCTCTTTTCCTTTGCGCTCATATTCGCATTTTTCTTTTATGGGTTTGGCTGCTGAAATGCCTAGCTGCCTCTCATACAGCTGCCATCACCTTGCTGGCTTCCAAATATTGCCATTTTCAATTTAACTATACGTTCAATGTTGTGCTTTTCTTTTGGTGAGATTGTGTTTTCCCTTTGAAATTACGTTATCAATCTTAAGCCCGGGCTCGTCACTACGTAATAGATTAATTCTTTGATAAAATTCTCTCTGCCCTTTTCTTTGTTTGATGTAAAATTGTAAATAGCTTAGGTAGAAATCGAGACCATGAACCCACGATTAGTTTCCTTTGATTTTTGACTAATTCTCATATGTATAACGCAGGATACCAATCAATTAGACAATTATTCAGATTCTGTTCATTTTCTAGCGCCGAAATATAGGGGGGGAAAACTTATGTTTATTTCACTAATGGAACTCTAGGTCGAGGAACAAGATGACTTGTGGACTTGGGAGGCCCAAACAGAGAACCGTTACTAAATTAGCCTGAAAGAGAATGTGTTGCATTTTACTCAACCGGTTTTCATTGAAAGAATAAATTTATTGTCTCGCTTGTCTTTTTATAAACAGAAAATCTTCAGGTTGGCCCCAAAAAAAAAAAGTTCTGCAGGTCCAAAAATTAAATTCGATCCTTACAGGAGGATTTGCACATAGCATCCGAAGAGACATTCAAGCTTACTCCATCTGGATCACCGGTTCACCACTCACTAGCCCACCCTAAAACCAGTTCTTATCCTTTTTTTAAAAAAAAAAAATTGCGGAGGATCGAGTCGAGGGGAACCTTTTTTTTTTTTTTTAAATATTTTTTCTTTGTCCCCCCCCCCCCCAACCAGTATTTGACATCACCCTAGCTGTCTAATAGAACCTCTAAGCCAGATATGACTTTAATCCCAAGTCCCAACCTACATTACAATCAGGCTGATTTCTTTCTCTGTCTTTGGTTTTTTAGAAAGAGCTATGTATGCGCTCTAATCTTTGATCCTGTACGATGAAGCTTACCCTACACATACATATACATACATACATGCATATTATATATATAGTAGCTTGTACTCTCTTGTTGCAGATGCTGAGCAAGCAATTTAGCACACTGGAGGCAGGTTGCTCCGGAGATTTCCAAGATCCCAAGGAAATTCCTGAGCAGCAGGGCCAGGAAAAGCGCTTGATTGGCCTTCCCCTCCACACGAATCAAGCATTGGCATTTCTGATGAAAAACTGCCAAGCAAGCTTGACAAGTCATGGTCCTCCCCCACTGCATCCTCATCGGCACTCTGTCTATTCACCCCTGTGAATTCACATACAACAACATGGTGCACCAGTTTAACTTAACGTTAACACGAGTTGTGATCAATTAATTAATGAGTGAAAAAAGGAGCCAAATACATGCGTAACGCATAAAAAAAGAACGCCGGCGTACCCGTGGATGATGGGAAAGAGAGAGAATCATGCCTGTGGTTAGATAAGTCACTTGGTATGGTTGAGTCGTCGTTGTGAGGAAGTGCAAGAGCCTGACCAAGAAGATCCTCCCGCAGGCCGTTGTCTGGTTGAGGTGGTAATAATGGCGCCGCTTGAGAGTAATCATTCAGAGCGATGGTTGAAGCAGGAGATGGGGACGCCGTTGGCGGAATTTGGGAGGGACACATGTCAGTATTGCAGGCATTCGAACAAGGAAGGGATTTAAGAGGACAACCAATGATGCTAAGACTGGGCAGGGAGGGCATTGGAGAACCAAGAGTTGAGAGAAGACCCTCCAGACTTGCAGCAAGCTGAGCGGTGCTGAGATGAGGAAAACTGGTGGTGTTATGGAGAGGAAGGTTGGGGAAGGGATCAGGAGAAGAGGGAGAGGAGGAAGAAGGAGGGACGTTGATGGGTTGAAGTGAAGGAGGATAAAGAGGCGCGCCATCTTTCAGGCATCTTTTCGTCCTCGTATTCCAGAAATTCTTTATCTCGATCGTTGTCGGTTCTTCCACGTAACTGCAACTCCAGGGAACATATAAGTGCAATAGAAAGGAAATATTAAAATATGGGACAAGTAACTGAAAGCGTTTGATTCTGTGCAAGATTAGGAGCTATAGTGGATAAATATTAAAAAAAGAACGGCAACAATAATTTGATGGACGCATGATGAAGGTTCAAATAGTTGGCAAAACATTGACTCCCAAAGGAGGAGGGAATAGGGTAGGGAAAAATGAAGGAATTAATGAAGGGCAAGCAATGCAAATAACACAGAAAAATGGACAAAGTGGGGAGGGGGAAAGGGGGGAAGAGAGAGAATATTCATGAACTATATGCCAGATTCATATTAAAAACCAACATCCGGAAAACTGATAGGCCCAGGAAACATCACCATTCACCATCATCAGAACAGTTGGTGTCAGATTATGCCGAAAAAGAAGACAATTACAGCAGATTGGGAGGGACAATGAAATCATGGACAGGACCAAACATAAAAAAACCAGTCGATGAATGAAGCAGTTACCAGAGAGGCAATGCGAGACCATTTGTTACCGATCTTGGAGTGCATGTAGATGATCATATCTTGCTCGTCTGGAGAAAAAGAGCCTTTCTTGAGGTTAGGCCGAAGATGATTTGTCCATCGGAGCCTGCAACTTTTGCCGCTACGAGCCAGCCCCGTGTTGTTGTGCACCTTGTTCCAGTTTCCTTCGCCATGCTTCTTCACGTATTCTATCAACATCGCATCTTCTATCCTCTTCCAGGGTCCCTTCTTCATCTTCTTTGCGCCTCACAGCACACTTTGTTTCTTTGAGGGTGTTTCTGGGAATGCGATTCATCAAGAACAAGCTGGTTATATATATAGAGTTTTGTTTGTCTCTCTCGAGACGATCGCCAGAAAATGAGAAGAGAGATGGAGGGAAAATTTGTGAAGATTTTGTCTTTTCAGGCCAAGACAGAGACTGCAACAGAAAGGAACATTTTAGAAGCTTTGATTCATGGTAGAGACAGAGAGGTGTGGGACCAAGGAGTGAGGGGAGAAGGAGGGAGAGGGAACTATACTTACAATAAGAGCAAGGGTGGCCAACTGTCTTTCCTGCTGTTTGAAATATCATGGATGTTACGTTGAGTTCTTGATTTCAAAGTTCTTCTTGGAGAGTTAAGAGGGGAACAGTGACAAAACCGGAAAAAGAAGCGGGCAAGAGATTTTTTTCCCCTTGAAATTGATTCCAAAACTTCACTATCAAAGTTGAAAAATTCCAAACTCTATTTTTTTTCCCCCAAAGTGCAACCAACACTTAATATTAATTGATTTCAAAGTATATTAAAGTTAATTTATTTTTGTCCCATGTCATTGATTAAAGTCAAGTGTTTTAATTGCGTATCGTAGGCAATAAATTCAGAAGTCTTTATTAAACGTCTTTCGCATATTAGTTATGAAATCAAATCTTTATTCTGTTACACAAACCATAACAACACGTGTCAAGAAACAAAATGTAAAAATTTTAAGTATTTTATTATATATTTATATGATGATCAGGGGATAGGATCGTTGTATTTTGAAAGAGGATCGTCGTATCTATCTCATCAATATTTAGTGCTAATTCATAAAATAAGTATAAAAGATGTATTTTGGGGAAAAAAAACATATCAAACTAAAAGAACATAATAATAAGACGTGCTGTGTACACACACCTTGGCATAATGGAGACGATCCAATTTAGACAATTTGAGAGCCATGTTACGCATATCACTTTCATGTGGATCCAATATGATCACTTTGCCTCCACCATTTCAGATGTCCTTACTATGCTCTTATTATCACCTGCTCATATTGTTTATTTAGCTCACTGATTAAGTGAGTTAACCTGTTTAACTAACACAATATATTTTTAAAAAATCCCAAATAAAAATACGTCCCAAAATATAAATTAACATATAAAATCAAAAGACAATTCTAAATAAAATCTTCCAAAAACTCCAAAGTCTCTAGACGTTTTGCATTAAACGTTTCCAATGAAAACTAACCTCGCACCATCTCCCTCTCATTTCAAAACTGGCTTTGACGGTCGTATGTCGTCATCTCACCGTTTCACTGTTAATTTTTTTCTAACCACACATTGTTTGCTAAGCTCTCAAAAAAAATTGAAGAAGAAAGAGAGAGAGAGAAATAAATTAAACCTTGATGGTCGTACATGGCTCCTTGACCAAAAGCGGTAGGCCCTACCACAAAATTAGCTTCGCCAGCACACACATAAGCCCACGTTAATTATAAAAGGCTGCTAAATGTGAGACGAAGTTAGAAGCAAAGAAAACACCGATGCTTATTTGGTCAACACGATTTGTCTTTGCATAAATTTTTATTTATTTTGGCCTAAAAATTCCTACGTGTGTATTAGTAAAGCGAAGAATGAGAACAGAAATCAAAACAGACCGCTAGGCGCTAGCCCCATAGAATTCACGTTGGGAAAACAAAAATGGCGGAAATAATCCCTATGAACGGACTCTTTCTGAAAGAGGACCCATGTAAGATGAGATTCAGCTAGAGCTGGAAAAATGGACCAAATCCGTCGAGCCGGCCCATTTAGCCTTTGAAATTATAAGAAGTGGGCTTGATATTTTTCTTTTCAAATAGGAAATAAGCCTTGGAGGGCCAAGGGCTTAAAAGGACCGGCCCTTTTAAGTCTTTTTATAATTTTTTTTTGTTTTTTAAATTTTTTTATATAATTCTAATGTTATTAATTTTTTACATTATTAATAATATTTCAAATATTTAGTTATTATTATCATTTTAAAATTAAATTTAGTGTTAGACAATAATTTATCCAATTAAATTTTTAAAAAATGGGTTAATTTGGACTTTAATAATGATTTGATTTATATTATATACGTTGATATTTTTAAACTATATATATATATATTTGATAATAGAGTATTTTTATACTTATATATTTGTGATTCTATAATTTGAATTAGAAATTTATGAGTTTCAACAACAATGTTTCTCACATTAAAGTAAAATAATAGTTAGATTGTAAAATTTAAAAGTAAAATTCCTATAAAGAAGAAAAATTTGATATTTTTGTTATGAAAAAAAAGCATATTTATGAAGAAGAGTAATTAATTATAGTGATGATGAAGTTTCAAAAAATTAATGATAGTATTTATTTATTGCACTATAGATAAAACTTTTGGATGTTGTTATTTTCTTAATGAATGTTTTAGATGTTCTTAGATGTTGATGGATATTTATATATGATGATATTTTATATTTGTGACTTAATTTTATTCATATTTATGTCTTTTTTTAATAATTTCATTGGTTTATTTTTATTGTTTTATAAAAAATATGATAAATATAAAAAATAGTATTTTTTTTTTTAAACGGGCCAAAAACCCGCGGGCCGGCCCTGAGCCCTGTAGTTTAAGGGTCGAGCCTAGTAAATTGGGGTATTTTTTAAATTTTAGTCCTAGAGGACCGGTCCTGATTTCCACCTCTTGATTCAGCAGGAAAAAAACACACCATCGTTAATTACTTTCAAATCAGGTAAGTTTCATAGAAGGACATAAATAAGACAGTGTTCAAAACACTTTACAAGCTGAATCTGAAGCTTTAGACCGTCACAAACACGACATGAATCATATCTCGAATTATGGCTTCACCTGAACAACAACTTTGCCAACATTGGAGCTTGTGAATAAGGAGGCTAAGCTCTCTAAAAAGCTCTCGATCTCCATTACTTCAGCGAATTCTACAAATCGATGAGAATATGAAGCCAGCATAAAACCCTCCATCCTCACTTCCTTCCCCACCATGTTCAGCAGATTCCTCACCCCTTCCCTTTCTGTCCAAACCTGCATTTTCACATACATTCACATTCATACTTGACATTGCACTGTATTTAGAATTATAGCAAGCCAAAAAAAAAAAAAGTCACAGATTATTTAATACTGGAGCTTTATTGGTTGATTGATTACCTTGTTGTACTGGGATATCATTCCGCAAAGTGGTATGCGTGCGTACTTGTTGACATGATTAAGCACAGCTTCAAGCATCCTGCCCCCAACATTATCAAGGTAAACATCTATACCGTTTGGGAAATACCTGCATAATTCAACGTCCAACTCAAATGATGGAGTAATGAGGCGAAGGGTAAAAGACTGAAGTTGAACGAAGGCATAAGATTAATGAGGGACACCTGCTTAAAGCAGCGTCATAATCTGTTTCCTTGTGGTAATTGAATCCGTCATCATACCCAAATTCCTCTTTCATAAGCTTTATCTGTGAAACTCGCTCATTGGGTAATGAAATTTTTTATGGTAGGATAATCGCAATGAACAGAAGTACAGTGTCTATTTTTGGGTAGGGATGCCCAATTATTTTTATCCCTTAAATTAAAGTGGCTGAAAAGGAAATTAGCGAACGAAATGGAAGCAATGGATGATGTTGGTGTTGGGTGGAGCAGAGTACCTTATCATCAGAGCCAGTACTTCCAATGACCCTGCAACCTCGAAGCTTAGCAAGCTGGCCAGCATACATTCCCACAGCTCCAGAAGCAGCAGAGACGAACACATTTGATCCTGGCTTTGGATCTCCCAGCACCTCTATGCCCACCCATGCCGCAAACCCTGGTACTCCTGAATCCAAACAAGCCAACCCATTCCGATGTTTATTTTACTGTATTCTCTTCTCAAAAGGAAGAAAAATTGACATTAAAAACCAACCCATGGAGCTTATGTAGTCAGGCAACGATATTCCAGAGTTTGGATCGAACTTTCTGAGCATCAAAGAGGACGTGACGCAGTACTCAGCAATGGGACAATTCGGATGAACCACAATATCACCCTCTTCATACTTACTGTCCTTGGATCGGATCACCCTTCCAATCCCAAAAGCTGATATCACCTGCACAAACACACACACACACACACACAGAGATATATCTTCAGTTGAAGAATCTGGGTTCATCTTAGTTCATTTGTCAATTAAAGAGTGGAGTGGAAGAAACAGGTGTACGTGGTTAAGTTCAAATTGGACGGGGTCGCGAGAGCCACTCATTCTGGTGCGAAGGTATGGATCCACCGAAACAAAGAGGAGCTCCAGGGCAACATGGCCATCGGGGATTGAATCGGCGGCCACAGATAGCTTCACCGTTCGGAGTTTCAGATGATCGGAGGTCGGAACCCCCTCCGCTGCATAAGCTGCCATGTACCATTCTCTGCTTTCCAATTCCACCTCTGTTTTCGCTTCATTTCCACCACCACCTCCCATTCTGTTCGTTGCTTTACCTGTTTCTTGGGATGTGTCTCCTTGTTCTAATGATCATAATCAACCATTATCATCCATTCGTTCTAACTTCTAATCTCCATTTTCATTTCATTAATTATTATCATCATTATTCTTCCCGCTGCTTTACCTGTGGATATGATCAAGAGCAACTTTTTTGACAAGTGCTGATGTGATTCACGTTTCACATCTGAATAAATCACATATTTTTTTAATTTTACAACAGTTTAGTTATATATTTTTTATTTAAAAATTTTGAATGTCGTTTTCCGAAGATTAGAAGATACTGATACTTTAACCCCCCCCCCCAAAAAAAAAAACGAAAACGGTAGAATCATCATTATATTTATTACTTTTACAAAAAGGTGAATTTAAAAAAGAGATGGATGCATGAAAAAGACAAAACTGTGAATTGGACATTCCAAACGGGCCCTTACTTTGGGAAGGTTATGCAGCTGGCCTGGTGCTGTGTGGGGGGTCTATCAAAAATCAAAATTAAAAAGAAAAAGAAACCTTTATGCGCCATTGTCCAGCAGAATATGACATCTTAAATGGCTATGCTGTGGGTCCCACGATGGTTTACAAATAATGCAATGGTCTATTATTAGATGTAACATTAATTAGTATTTGTTTTTTTTTCCACTTAATTTATTTAAATACCGCAGTAGTATATTCAGTGGATTTTATCTAATTATTTAACAAGAATGTGTTGAACAAAGCATTTCAATTGACTTGAGTGAGCTGCATATATTTGTATAAAGATTAGGATGACCAATGCTCTTTCCACTCATCAACAATGTAATTTGTTACAGTTTTAATTTCATACATACGTTAATGACAATGATTTAATCATAAAATGTTGTACCATATATGCATAAACACGTACGCATATTTCGAAAAGATCCAATCACAACGAAATAATGAACTGCTTTTTATCCAATCTGGTAATTATCTAATGTATACTTAATAATAAATATTTATATAAATATGAATTTCATCATCTATTGGAGCATGCAATTTCAAAACGCCGAAAAAATGCGGGAATTGTTTGTTTTATATAAATATACAAGCGTGTACTTTTAATCTTTATCTTTTTTCATTTTTCGTGATTTGATATAAAAAGGAAGTGAATTAAAAGACTGCTCAATACAAAATACATATTAGTAAAACTACGATCAGCACGTAAGCATATTATTTGGCTAAAAAAAAATTAAGTTGAAAGGCTTAACATAGATCTTCTGTTCGTGCTCCTCGATCGACTTTGAACAAGTAAAATGCATAATGCTGTTAGTTTTCATAGTTTTGTAATTAACCACATGTTTTGATATTATTGAAAACAACAAAAGTCAACCACAAATACAAAAGTCTGGTTCACAAAAGTCAGATAATTAAGTTTCATACATAAACAGGAGGCGTGATTAATTAAACAGAAATGGGATTAACTAAACACGTGGCTTAACCTGAATAATCACTTTGCCATCATTGGAGCTTGAGAAGACAGAGGCTAGGCTGTCTAAAAAGCTGTGAATGCCCAGGTTGATTTTATTCCTGGACTTCACTTTCCCTTGTTTCATGTAACCTTCCATTGCCGCAGCGAACTCTCCAAAACGATGCAAATGGGAGCGAACCATAAAACCCTCCATCCTCACTTCCTTCCCCACCATGTTCAGCAAATTCCTCACCCCTTCTCTTTCCCTCCAGACCTGCATTAAATATGAACAGGATTATTCGATAATTACACACACACACACACACATATGTACTGCAGTTTTATTGATTAATTGAAATGGATTACCTTATTGTATTGAGATATCATTCCGCAAAGCGGTATGCGTGCAAACTTGTTGACGTGGTTAAGTACAGCTTCCAGCATCTTGCCTCCCACATTGTCCACGTAAACATCTATACCATTTGGGAAATACCTGCAAATATCTCATTTTAATTCCCAACTTAGTTAATCATGTACGCCTGCTAATCAAAACAGAGAGAGAAAAAGATGAAGCAGGCATATACATATATACCTGCTTAAAGCAGCATCGTAATCTGTTTCCTTGTGGTAGTTGAATCCGTCGTCGTAACCAAACTCCTCTTTTATCAGCTTCACCTGCCAATTCGTTCGATTATTATACTCATCAACTGCTACTTGTTTTATTTTCAACTATGATTTTAGGAGTAATTTTTATATTTTAGCCATATATAACTATAGCAGTTTAATTGAAGACTAAAATTAACGAAGCAAATAATCGAAGAATCAAAGAAGTAGCCCTCCTTTTTCTCTCTTAGCTATGTTGGCTCTTGAATCTTGCCCTGACACGATGCGTTTAAATGTGTGTGTGAATCGTTTGTGTATGTTATACACTTAGTACATTTTGATATGTTTCAATTTTAAAAGATGCTGAATATATAGTAAACATGACCTTTTAATCGGCAGCTATATATTTAAAAGAATAATGATTTGTGACAAAATTATAGTCTTCGTATATTATGAAGAGGCTAAAACTCACATCATGCTAACTCTCCGTACATAGATCGAGAGGCGTTGTTATTTAATGATTTTTTTTTTTTTTTGTGGTTCAAAAGCTGTTGATATGATATTATGATTTGAGAAATCATGTTCTTGGCCATGCATTAAGATTTCCGACACAGGGGCCAACTTTTGCGCACATATCTGGATTTTCATTGCACCTCTCCTTGAGATGTGACAACCCAACAAATCTCCACCAGCTTATTTTCTCATTTTCCTACTGACTTTTGTAAATATCTGTCCCATGACCTGGTATGCCACTAATAATCCAATTTAAACCATCATTATTGTGCGAGAATTGTCCGCGTGTTTGGTGAACTGTGCATGAAAAACCATCTGACTCATGTATCAGGAGAATAGCACAAACTACCTCACAAAAACCATCATTACGATGTATGATCAAAAAGCGCAGCTCATGAGGCGTATTATTTTTTTTTTTTCGTGATACCATGAGTGCGTATTAAAATATAGAGATAATTACAATCAAGTCCTAAAAAAATATAATTATTAAAAATTCTTCATAACAATCTAAAAAACTTATGATGAAAACTTTTAAAATAGAAAATAATAATTTTTTAGACTTATTTTGTAATTATCTTTTAAAAAAAAACGTATTGTAATTCTCCCAAAAATATACGAGTGTCTGTGTAAGTACCTTGTCATCGGAGCCAGTGCTGCCAATAACCCGGCAGCCGCGGAGCTTGGCGAGTTGGCCGGCAAACATTCCCACACCACCGGACGCAGCAGAGATGAAGACATTGGATCCTGGCTTTGGTTCCGCCAGCACCTCTATACCCACCCACGCTGCAAACCCTGGCACTCCTGCGTCCAACCATAGCTTTCATGCTCAACTTATTTCCCAACATGTTTAAGTAATTTTGCGTTATATGGTAAAGTGCAACAATAATTTTTTTTTTTAGGTTGTATCCAAACCAGCAATAAATATTATCATCCTGAAACCTACCCAAGCAGCTTAGGAAATCAGGCAATGAAATGGCAGTGTTGGGATCAATTTTTTTGAACATGTGGGACTTCACCACGCAGTACTCTGCTACGGGTATAAATGGATGAAGCACAATGTCGCCCTCCTCAAACTCACTGTTCTTGGATCGTACCACCTTCCCAATCCCAAAAGCCGTGATCACCTGCATACATACGCACATGTATATATAAATCAAAATCTGCAGGGTTCTTTTTTTTTTTTTTTTGGACCAGCAAGGGTTCTCGTTTATTTTAAGTATCAAATAATTGCCAGAGCGTACCTGGTTGAGTTGGTACGGGTCAGAGTGGAGGCCGTCGAGGAGGCCGGTCATTCTGGAGCGAAGATATGGGTCGATGGAAACGAAGAGGAGCTCGAGGGCGAGGTGGCCGTCCGGGATGGCGTCGGCGGCTAGCGATAGCCGGACTGTTCGGAGCTTGAGATGATCGGAGGTGGGAACACCCTCCGATGCATACGATGCCAAGTACCATTCTCTGCTCTCAACCTCATCACATATCTCTCCCATTCTTCCACTTTTTTCCTTCTTTGGCCACCAGACGCTTCTTCCACTTTAATACTCTCTCGCAAAGCAGAGGTACTCACATGGCCTATTTTTTATAATTATATCGTATAAAAAAGAAAAGAGAGAGTGGTATCAAAAAGTAATCACCGCAACACACACGAGACACTAATTTATAGGGAAAAAAAAAATACAAGGCAACATATAAAAACTATAAAATGATACTACCGCCATCTTTGAGCACGAGTAAGACTGAGATTACAAGCCTATGCTCGCATCCCTTATTTCCACCGTCAGGTCCCTTCCCTGTTAGACAGAAGATAATGCATTCACATAGATAAAGACTGGCAGTAATCAATTTTAAAATATATAAATAATATGTATGCAAATGAGGATACAATTTTTTTTATTATATTTGCTAAAACAAAATTGGAAAATAATTTAAAGATATGAACCTAAGCTATTATGTACCTAGTCTTAAAAACTAATATGATAGAGACATTTTATGTTCATCTTTCTAATTTCTACTGCACAATAATATTTATGACTTTTTCTGGAGTGCGATATTCTGTTTCCTAGTATGCCCACCATGCGGAACAGTGAACGCAGCGAAGACAGTGATTTTCGTTTTTTTTTTTTTTTTCAAAACGGGACTCCACGAAGTTCAGGGCTGGAGCCCACACACATTATTTTTGATAATTTCCTTTCCAGCTAAATGGCGGGAGACGTCTGATCATCCAGATGTTAAGAGGTAGACAGTGGATATCACGAGAGTAAACTCTTTTTACGTACGCCAACCCGTCGTACGTAGTTCATACTTCGTAGGCGTGAAACAACCAAGTTTCATACAAAGGTACAGAAGAAATAAGGTTCGAACATTATATGAATAAAAAGCATGTATTAATCAAATGCCGGGCTTAACCTGAACAATCACTTTGCCAACTTTCTTTCAATTCCCAGTTAGTTGACTCTACTATATTGTTGGACCACACTTTCCCCTCTTCGACGCGTCCTTCCATTGCGGCAGCCGAGTCCCCAGAGCCATGAAACAAGAAGCAAGCATAAGGCCCTCCATATCCTCACCGGTCCCCATTCGGTGCTCCTTAGGTGATGACCTGATGAGCAATCTAGAGATCTGAACGGTTCAGATTTAATATTATTAAATAATTATTTTAAAATAAAAAAATTATATTTTTAAAGAATGATAGTTAAGAGATTATTTTTATTTTTTATCCTCTACCTATTAAAATAATTATTTTTAAAAAATAAAAATAAAAATAAATCTGGAGGGTCCAAATCTGATGAGCATTGGGTGCTCATCAAAACTGATGAGCACCCAATGTAAATCGTATCCTTACCACCTTCTACACCATGTCCGCCAGATTCCTCGATCATTCCCTCTCTTTCTGTCCGCACATTCGTTTTCACACTGTAAATTAGTGTTACTTGAAACTGTTGCAGGAAGAGGAAAGAAACGCAGGTTGGTGATACAGCAGATATGAATGGAGATTCATGAATATTGTTACCTTATCATATTGAGATATCATTCCGCAAAGAGGAGTGCGTGCGTGCGTACTTGTTGGCATGATTAAGTACAGCTTCAAGCATCTTCCCACCAACACTGTTCAGATACTTGGGAAGTACCTGCAAATTGAAGTCATTATAATTTCCAATTCATTTAATCAGTCTGGTAAAATTAAAAAATTGAAAGGGACGCATTGGTGAGAGAAAAAGATGAACTATATAGGGATACCTCTGTATCAATTAATAGCCAAGCTCAGAAAACTGGTAATGGGAACTATCGCAAGTTAGTTGCCGAATGGTGTGAACTACACAGGAGCGCAGGTGCATTGCGGCTTGCCCCAAAGGAAGATATCATGTGAGCAGGCGACCTTGCCAGTCTGCCCAATAAAATTTGACAGGCAGCTGCGAGAGAAGGAGCCTTGTCTGAGACTTGGCACTTTGTCCGTTGCGGAGAAGGTCATTGTGAAGCAGGCATTTTTTCATCCTTAACTGTGGCCCCCTGGTTGAAAAATGAAGATGCGAAAAATGCATTAATAAATCGCTAGAAGGAGGGCTTGAACCTCCGACCTTGTGGTTAACAGCCACACGCTCTAACCAACTGAGCTATTCCAGCAGCTGATACCCCGAATCATCAGTTCTATAGATAAAGAGTAACTTGGGATTTTTTTTCCCCGCAGCTTAACACAACTAAGAAATTAAATATTAATTAAATGTGATTTTAATTCCAATATAGAGCTTATAAATTCAATTTGAAAAAGAAAACAACAAGAGGATAAGCATTTTACATTTTTAAGTTATGGATACATATTTTTTAATTGTGAAAATATAAATCTCTGTGATTATTTTTTTAGGATTTGAAATTTGAATTATATTGTTTTTTCCGATCATGTTGGTTGAAATATAACCTTATACATTATCGATGATTGAGTCGATAACAAAAGGGGAATATATCGGAAATATTATGAGTGATTTCTTTTAAAAATAAGAAATTTGACGTCTCAGACTTTTCTTTGGGGCCAAATTTGACGTATAAAACTGGACGTTCAATTCGAATTTTCGTTTCGGCCATATTTTTTGGACTAACAATGTTATTATCTTTTCTCCCCTTGAAATTAGATAAGAGATAAAATCTATATACACGGTATTTAATATAAGATTAGTTAATTAATTAAACAAATTTAAAAAATTAATTAATTAGTTATTTGTAATAAATAGGTACTATTTTTTCTAAGATATCTCTATTAATTACACATATTAGTTAGAACTACATGGATAAAATTTTAACATATACAACAACTATAAAAATTAAGGACTACCTTAAAAAAAAAAAAGACACAAAGTAGATTGTAATCTTATTTAAAACTAAATTAAATATCAAACTTAGTCTTATACTTAAAACTAATTCTAACTCTTATATGAAGAAATCAAACTAGAATTAAAATTGAAGATGAAAAAAGTGTTACCATGATGAGGGTTTTTTTCTTTTTTGGCGAATAAAAGTTTAGATAATTGGTCTCGGAGACTTATCAGAATCAGAAATGTCTCTTATAAGATATGAACTGATTTCTTATTAACCACACCAATTCTTATTAGTGTTACACTGAGGAGTTGAGGGAACAGGAAAATTAAAATGAGAGGATTTTTTTTTTTTGGGAAGAAAAAAGAAACCATTACTAAAAATAATCATATTGACGTGACAGGCGTGTATATTATATATATATATATATATATATATCTTTCTCTCTCTCTGCGAGGACCAAAGATTTGCATCTAGAAGATTAATTAGAAGAGAATCAGGGGAAATCAAAGATCTGCATTTAAAAAAAAAAAACTATATAAGCAATATTTTTATCAGCCAAAAAATTCTATCGGATAGTGATATTTATCGATTTTTAATATTTACTGGAAAAGGGTTAATTGAATGTATTCATTATCTTTTTGGGATTTATTCATCCATAGATAATTTTTTTAGATGAAATAATATCTAAATACAAAGGGAGTAAATGGCGTTTGAATTACATTACTGGTCAAAAAACTGGCGATATGAATTATTATGAAATAGACAAAATCAGAGAAAGAGAGAGATGGCGTGGTGGAAGAGGAATCCTCTTTTCCGCTCGCACACGTAAGGCAGTGAAACTGTGAAAGTGATCCCACCGCGTGCTGACCTGTGCCCATTTATTATTATCTATATATTTACCAGCGCAAGTCTTTTTCCCTCGCACGCGCCAAACTCCAAATCTACCTGCACCCATCCTCTCAAATCAATCAATCTTCCCAGTTCCTTCATTTGCTGTCGGAGCTTCTTTGGGCCCTCCGCCACCCTCCTCCTTCCTCCAGATCATCCCCACCAAAGGTATATATTCACCGTTTGTTTTATCTCTTCTCTCTCCTTATTTACCCCTCTCTCTTCTGTTCATTCCCCGCTCTTGATTTTTCTGGATTCTGGACTCCTCCGTCTCACTTGTTCCCTCTTTTCTAACCACGTCGTAATTCCTTTTTCCCTTCACCCTCGCCAATGTTTTCAAGCACGAATCCATCATGCAATCCACCGAATGGTATATTGGCCTTTGGGTGAATAGATCCCACTTTGAAAACCCAAGAAATCTTCCCCAACATAAACCCTCGATTTCTCTGTTGGCTGTGGCCAGCTTTTATAAACAAATCTCGTTGATTTCTCATATCGGATGTCACAATCCACTCCCCCAGGCTTGGACTAGGTGTTTTTGACTGAATTTATTGCTACCTGCACTCCAAATAAGCTAATGAATGATTATTTACTCAATTTCCTTTGATATTCTATTGTTAGTTGTCCATAGTCTTCAATTAGCATGCATAATTATTGATTAGCTTTTTATTTTTTGGAATCGAAGAAGAACCTAATGGGAAGCAAAGCTCCGAATTGGGCAGACCAGTGGGGAGCGGGTGGGTTCGGGAGTGAGGACGAGAATGAGCAGGTGAAGAAGCGAAGCGGCAGCAGCAAGATGGCCGATGCGAAAGCAAAAGCATCGGCGGGAATGGACAAAGCCAAAGCGGCGGCAGTGGTGGGCGCTGACAAAGCCAAGGAAGCGGCAGTAGTGGGAGCCATGAAACTCAAGAGCGGCACCTCCGCTGGTCTCAAATGGGTCAAGAATCAATATCAAAAGAGGGCTTCTTCCTCCAAGTGAACCTTCCCCATTCTCTCCCTCCACCTTCCGACACTGTGATTCCACCATACCTATAATTTCATCCTCCTCCGACTGTCTTTTGTTCTTTCTTATAGCTTTTACTGGCCTTTCCATATGCACTAGAGATCTAATTTTGCTTCAGACTTTACTTGAACATGAACGTATTTTTTCTTATTTTACCTGAATACTTTGCATTTCGAATGTCATATCCTTGATTAATTAATCTTTTAATTCAAGTTGCATCGGTAGCACTTCTCCACTTTGCCATCCCTTGACTTTTTAACGGCTTTCAACGCCGGCAGAACTCGCCTTCGTGCACTACTTTCCCAATCAAATTAAATACAAACCATAGCGTGTTTCAACCAAGTATCATTTATTCGCATCTAATTTATTTTTCTCTTTTTTTTTTTTTGCCAACTTTCTCTTTTTGGTAGGTATTCAGATGTAATTTACTAATTTCTGTTAAGGGCTTACGCAACTTTCTCAATAATGAACATGATGAGCAATGACATGTTTTTAACATATTAAAATTAAATAAATTCATAAATTGTCGCACAGGACTTAATGCGAATAGTACCCCTTCAGCATAATCTTACATCTGAATGCAATTGCAAGCCTATATTCAATATCCTGTTACAGTCGTTTCAGAAAAAGCCGCAGTATTCATAAAGAAAAACAAAGTTAAAAATACAGAAGAATTTACAACCATACTAGCTTCTTCCCACAGCTTATTTATTTTCTTTTTGGGAAGACGTATTTACATGGATTGCTGCACGCCATAATTCAGATCAAAGTCCCAAATGTGTTTTCCCCGCTGTAAGTCATATACAGGAATCCATCTTCATCCTTATTTTCCTCGTAAACCGCAGACATAATAGCAGCTACATGGACAGAAACCACTTTATCAGATCACAAATTACCAACAAAAATACCCACCACTCAAACAAAATGAATACAGAAAAGTCCTGTTTAATTTACCAGTTGGAGGTAAAATGTTCTTGACAAAAATGAAGATGGCTTTCTCAGGACTCAACTTGATTCTCTTCCGAACTACATACACAAACTGGCCAACAGTCAAATCAGCCGGAACCAGATACCTACAGGGGAAAAAGTTTTATACAATAAATAAAATTGAAAAGGGAGTGAAACAAGATATATAAAAGGTGAACGTAGGTCATCCTGATCCTAACATCCATAGCAGAACATAGAACACTCAGGATTGATTGCCAAGAGAATTCAAAGCATCTATGAGAGATAATACTAAAAGAATACTATTTCTTCCATGCTTAAAAAAGGCTGTAGAACATTTGGTTGGATTAAGTCAAAGATCAATTGCGATGCTTCATTCATTTCTAGGAAGGACCCTATGTTAAGAGGTCTAACAATTAGAGGGAAGATCCATTAAGAGTTAAGATCAGTGCAGGCGAAAACTAGTAAGACCAGATTTGGACATTCTGACCAAACTGCTGAGAGCAAAGCTCCTTGCATTGAACACCATGAGAACGCTGTCAAATCAGTGCACGCTTACAAAACATCAGATCATGCAATAGGCCATGTTAAAGAGTAAAACAGAGGCAGAAACTAACTTTTTCTTGTCAATCTCAGGAACATCGCTCTTTTCAGCCCTTTCAACAATCACCTATGCCAAAATATCAACCAATTTAATAAGCAATAAGTAAGAATACAATGACAAATTCACACAACTGAAATGAAATCTCACTGGTATTCTATCTGGATACTTCTCTCTAATTCGAGCCGCTTCAGCCTGTCTCCTTTCTGCCACATAATATTTGTATATTTAATACTGAACAGAAGTTGGACAAACAGAGAGGGGGGGTTTGAAAGCCTTAACGAAGCTAGGGATGACGTTTATTCGATACAGACTTTTAGAAAGCTTCATATGGATAAAAACACGATGACATATATATCAAAACACCAGTAAGCAATAAAATGGTATAACCCACACCTTAACAACCGACCCCATTCAAAACTATTTCGGGCACCAAGTATATATATTTCAATGCACAAACTCAACATTTCTGCCCAAGGTAGATGGAACCAGCGCGGGGAAAGAAACCCTCGATTGATTAAAACTTTGTATCTTTTTTTTCCCCAGAAAGGGACGAGCACTGGGATTCCAAAATACTAAGTCTCGCAAATGAAATTTCGCACTTTAATACATATATTTTGGATAATTATGAGATAGAAACAAAATTTCATATTTTAACAAATTCCAACAAGGAAATAAAAAGGCCGATGTCTACAAACTGGCTCGAACAAAATACAGGTTTCTCATATACGAAATCCTATCCAACAATCTAAAAAACATAACCAAAATTAAAGAAACGGGAACCAAAAAAAAAAAGATAAAAACAAACCAAGGGGATGCTCCATCTTGAACGAACTCTTTGCCATGGCAATGGTTCTGCGAGAATGAAAACAGGTAAAGACCTTATAACTGAGTTAGGGTTTTCTATGAATGGAGCGATTGATCAATCAAAGGAAGGAAGGAAGAGCAAATTAACTTAAAACACAAGGGTGAACCAGTAATGCTAACCAGACGAAAAAAGAACGGCAACGAGAGAGAAAACGAGTAGAGCTGGAGGAACTCCAGAATAATCACATCGAGCGAACGCCCAGAGGACGAATTCGACTGCAAGTTAAGGAAAAGCTTGTTAATTACGTTCCGACTTCCGTCTTGCATACGCTGCCTGTGCGCGCGCGAGCGCCTTTTTCTTTTTGGGCCTGAGCCGCTGTGGCCTGTGGTTATTGGAGGTCCATTTTAATCCATCATTCCCGGGGTGCTTTCTGGGGGAGTGGGGGGACTATAAATCATTAAATTGTACTGCAAAATGTAAGAAAATAAACTTATATGCATTATATATATTTAAATTACAGAATTGAAATACCCTACTAAATATATGTATAATTTATAATAATAATAATAATAAAACATGCGTATACTTTTTATAATTTTTAGTTCAGTTATTGATTCTTTATCTTTTAAATATAGTGTTTTTTTATTAAAACAGTAACAATACAGCGCGTTATTTTTAAGCAAATAATTCGGTGTTGAATTTAAAAATAAATTTTGTAGGAATGAGACAAATAGGTATTGATTCTATTGGAACGAGTGACTCTATATTAGTAGATCTTTAAGCATCAACTTTTAGGTTAAATTTCATGTGAATGTAAAAAAGCCTTGAGCAAATCTACTTTGATTGGATCTAAGAATAATGGAATGTAATCCAAGAGTTGTGGAAATACGATATGGTATTAAAAAATTAGGAGGAAAAAAAACTAAAAATATTTTTAATTAGAAGAATAGACATTAACTACCTAAAAATACAAGAAAGATCAAACTGGTGATCTTCATGTGACTAGTCATAAGAGGTGGGCCCAAAAAGAGACAGAGAGTATGCGAGTGTGGGCCTTGTGGTGACGGGTCGTGAGGTTGGGTCGCCCCTTCTAAACCGACCCTTCACCGCCCTTTGCTCCTTCACGCTTTACCGTACTTAGCTTCATGTTGGCATGGCTTGTTTTAATCTCACGCCACGCTTTTCACAATCTTCCCATTTCTCTCTTTATATATAGAAGCCTGGGCTGGACGAGGCCTCCATCTCGTAGTAACATGGGAAGGTGTTTGTGCTCCCAAAGACGAGAAGGTGATGAGCAGCAATATTACAGCAGAGGATCCTGCGGGGAGACATGTTTGATGAGAACCCTAAAGGAGTATAGGGGCCGCTTTTACATAATCCGTAGATGCCTCCTTTTCTTACTCTGCTCCCACAAGTATGCCCCCTCTCTCCCTCTCTCTCTCTCTCTCTCTCTATATATATATATATAGCATCTCTCAACTTACTTCGATTTCATGCAAGTAAAAACGTTTAGCTTCCTAGTCTTTAATCGCCCCTCCCCCTGAAAAAAGAAAAACAGAAGAAACGTAGCTATTATAGGTGGACAGTCCTGATTTGTTCAGGCTGCTGGGACCTTGCTACAAATGGACACACACATACATCAAAGCCTTCTTTAGTCCTGAGTTTTGACGCGGTTTAGTAATAAATGTCTGGCTTTCTCTTGCTGGTAGTTTTAGTGGGTGAACCCCCCATGCTCCTCTTTTTTTTAACTAAACCCTCATTCTGCTCCCTAATGGAATGCTAATTTACTGCCAAGTCATCGTTTTCTATTTTCATCTCCGACTATACTTTTCTGAATCTTCTTCTATGATCGAGGTTACCATTTCCATTTTAGTAATGGTGCTATGCCAATGAGGAGGTGAAATTTACGCATCTGCACATATGATTGGCAGAAACTAGGCCTTGCTATTCCTCAGGATCTAAGTTTTTAAAAAAAAACTCGTACAAGCAAATTAAAACCAAGTCAAAGTAGAAAATGAAACCAACTCCATGTGGGCAAACAAGAAGCAAGGAATGTTTATCTACCCTGAGAGTAAGAATTGCCTAATTTAGTATCTTGAAAAGGTTGTAGCGCTCAAAGAGAAATTTGTGCGTTTTATGCGCATCCGTCTAATCATGAAACTCCATAATAGACGATGGTGGCTGCTCACTTGCCCCCTTCCACAACTGATACTTTCTTCATCGGTTAATCCCAAACCACGACATTAATTGGAACCTAAATAGGTTTTGCTGATAACTATCTGCATATTTCATTTTTCTTTACAAAACTTATTTATTTGTACATAGCTATACAGTGTACATAAATCATGTTCAGATTTATAGATATTATATAGTCAAGGTTTTAAAAAAAAAAAAAAAAATCTGCAAGTAAGTATAGCTGATATGCCCCACCCCTGAACAGCTGGTCAATGGAACCTGGTCAATGGTATAGTAATATCCTAAAAGATAATTATTTTTTATAGAAGATATCGTATGCGCAATTTGAAGGTTTTTACTTCAAATCTTTCCTTTTTTCCAATATTTGTGACAAATTATTTAATATATTGACCAATTTTTATTTGATTAGGTCATATTTCTGTTAAATAGAAGTTTTATAGCATGATTTTTTTAAAAAAAATTTGTCAAAGATTACTTAAATTGACAACAAGCCGGAGGCTTTTCTCTGGAGCAGGAAGATTCGGTCAGGTCATTGATATCCAATTCCAAAACCAACAAAATATAAAATACAGTAAGCCGAAAGAAATTATAACTCAGCTAGTTTTAGCAGAACTCGTGGACATGCCTAGCTAGTTCTTATTATTCCACACTTTTTACAAGAAAACAATTACGGGCAACGGAGAGGCATTTCGGAAAACTTACACGGATGTAAGCTCATCAGTCCTGTACTTTATATCTTCATTTACTGCTTGAGACAATTATTTGTGGTCTTTCTGAAACATGTGAAGAAATTAAATCAGAGATATAGTAAATGTTGTGCAAGCTTTCCGACCCGTTCCTGTGCCTGTTCAATTAAGGCCAAGCTTGAGAAAATGATCAATTAGTCAACCAATATCGAAAGCTCTAATGGAACCTACCAAATGCCTTGTCAGAGAGGAGGCGATCAGGGTGATTGATGACAATTGAGTTGCAAAAACCAAAACCCATAAAGCAAAAGGTTGTTTGTTGCGTTATGGTATTTTCATTTTGAATTTGAAATTGGAGAGTTTGATCCATAATTCCATATAGAGGGCATGGTGATGAAGTGATGAACCGAACCAACATCCCTCTCACTCTCTCCCAGGACCCATAAATGCAGGCATTAAAAGCTCCAGATTCGTCTGCTCTAACCCATATCACGATTCCTGTACTCCTTAAATTAATATTCCAACTTCCTTAGTTGTGAGGTGGTTGGGAATTTAATGCATCTCCTTCAATGCTCCCATCACCTGCCATGTTTCGTGCTCTCTTATGTTGGCCCCTACCCTCTTCCTTTAAAACCTCCACTCATCCCTGCTCCCTTCCTCTCTCCCTTCCTCTCTCTCTCTCTACCTCTCTGTTCTGTTCTGTACATCAAACTCCTCAACCTCCATGCTGTGATTCTTCTCCATTCATACTTCGCTGTCATTCCCATCCCCACCCTTACGATGGTACGTGAATTCCCACTTCTCAGAGAAGGCCTTTTATGAGCTTTTCATCAAAACATTGATGCTTGAATTGAGTCTGTGATTATCTATCTGGAACAGTGAAAACTTGCATGGCGAGGAGGAGAGGAGGGGGGTGAAGGATAGGCTTCACGGGATATTGGTGCGGTTCAATAAGAAAGCAATGCTCTAGATGGTGAGGGGGCTCTGCTTTTTGATTGAGCCGTGCCAATATCACGTGCCACTGCTCCCCCGGCCACCTCGGCGCCTGTTCTTCTGGTATTCTTTTTCTTGTTTTACGTTGTCTGTTGGTTTCATGTTAATGTCATTACTTCACTGCGATTTCCTGGCAATAAACGAATTCTTTTCAAGCGATGAATCACCTTTCTGGAAAGAAACTGGTGGAAGTTAAATGAAAGGAACACCAAAGTTCTGTTCAAGTTTCATGTTGAGTCCAAGCAACATCTTGGCTAAGTGCCTTGTGCGGTTCTTTATCCATTGGCACTCTCTTCTCCCTTCCTCTGCATATAGTATTCACACATTTTATTTTATCTTATGGGTAGTGTTGCCTTCTTCTCTATATAGACCAACACTTCAAGAATTGAGGATGCTTTCGTAATGACAACCTTGAATACTGAACTCACACAAGCCATTTTTAAATCTGTGATTTTTTTTCTTTTATATTTGTATTTAACTTATAGTCAGTTCTAAGTTTTTTTTTTTTTTTTGGTGTCTATATGTTTCACATGTTATGGCTAGATTGACCCGTGTAGAAAAGAAATTGATTAAGCGATATCCCATATTTTGGCTGTGATTTGTTTTGAATTTTGAATGACTCGATAGCTGAGGCCACTTGAACATTCTGTTGTTTATTGTGGGCAAAAACTAAAATTTGATGAACTAGTTGAATCTCAAGATATAAATAAGATAACTATTTCATGTTTGTCCGATTAAGGAGGAAAACTATTGAATGCAACGCAATTGTGATGTGCGTTTTCATTGACTTAACTTGCCTCGCAAATAGGGAATGTCAGATATGAAGATAATGGAGGAAAGATAAAATTTTAACGAGTAAAATACTGAAAAAGTAAGGTTATAAAATTTTAATATAGAAAAAATAAAAGAATGAAAAAATTAATTAAAAATATTTAAATTTATTTCTAAATTAAATTTATAAAAATTTATCATGCTAAAAATCAGACCAGTTGAGGTAGGGTTAGGGATGATCGGTTGAGGCAGGGTTAGGTTTTAGATCGGAGTCAACCGTCAAACTGATGAAAAAAATAAAAAATAAAAAATAATTTAAATTTTCATATCATATGGATTAAATATTAGTTTATTAACTTGAATCACTAATAAAACAATTATATACTAACAATATTTTTCCAATCTTCCATACAACTCTTTTGGCAAATTAAAATCATAATATTATGCAACAAAATTACTAAATATTCATCTTAGTAAAATATTAAAATAAATCTACGATAACAAAATATTCAAACAATTTTTTAATCACTAAATTATAATTATCAACTAGCTAACCCAGTAAATTGGTTTTTTAGCCAGGCTGTTTTCGGGTTGGTTGAGTCACGTCAGGTCATCTTGAGCCAAGTTTTCCCCATTCATATGGGCTGAC